ACCTGGGTGGCTCAGTCGTTGAGCGTCTGCCTTCGGCTCAGGTCATGATCCCAGGGTCCTGGGATAGAGTCCCACATCGGGCTCCCTGCTCCGCAGGAAGCCTGCTTCTCCCTCTCCCACTGCCCCTGCTTTTGTTCCTGCTCTCATTGTGTCTCTCTGTCAAATAAATAAATAAAATCTTAAAAAAAAAAATAAATAAATCCTGATTTATTTATTATCTTTCCATCTTTGTTCCATGGGACCCTTTGATAGACTAGGTTGAAGGGGGTAAACTGCTTGAAGGCCCTTCCATGCTGGCTTCTTCAATCAAAGCAGCTCTGTTACCTCTTTTACATATTGAGGTTCTCATTAAGGTTTTTTTTTCAAACAAAGAATTTAATCTTATTGTCAAATAAGTTTGAAACCCATTGCCTTTAATCAGATGCTTGGAAAGAGATTTTTGGAGGGATGATAGGAAAATTCAATTAAACTAATATTTGAGTGTTTACTATGTGCTAAGCCCTGAGGAGCCTTCAGTGAAGTAAATTGTTTAGCAGGAAAGACTGGTGTTAAGTAATTACAAGTGAGATGAACTTTATGAAAGATAAAATACAGAGTGTTATGAGGGCTTATAGCAAGGGGATTCAATCTAGTTTCTAGGGTAGTGACTTCCAAACCTGACAGACATTAGAATAACTTGGAGAGTATTTCTGGTCTCCACTCCCCTCCAGCACGCCTTAGAAATTTTTATCTGTCCAGGTGGGGATCTCTAGTCATTCCTCAGCATGTACAAGGGAGGGTGTCAGGGAGACCTTCCTGAGGAAGTTTCTTAAGGGAGTGGGACTGGGAACAGTATTGCAAACTGAGAAGCATGACAAATGCTCTATTAGAAACATACAGGTAGGGGCGCGTGGGTGGCTCAGTTGGTTAAGTATCTACCTTCGGCTCAGGTCATGAGCCTGGGGTCCTGGGATCGAGCCCAGTGGTGGGCTCTCCAGTTGGCGGGGAGTCTGCTTCTCCCTCTGCCTCTGACCCTCCCCCCCCTCCTGCTCATGCTCTCGCTCGCTCTCTCAGATGAATAAATAAATTTTTTAAAAAAAGAAACATATAGGTACATATTGAGACATATTTCCCCTCCCATGTTCTAGACACAGGGCTTTGTTCAGTTCTTTGATTCCCACACCACCTGCCCCAAGACTACAAGCTCCTTGTTGGTAACCAAAAGTATATTTTATTTTGGTTGTAGCTGTAACATCTAGTATATACTCAATAAGATGTTCAAATACTTTGATCAAGTGAACAAAGTCTGTGCTTATAGGGACCTAGTTCAGTGCAGGAGATGGAAAAGAATTAGTAATTATGGAACAGGATAGTGACTTAACTTTTTCCCCCACTTAGGAACTCTTGATTAATATGAAATTTTATGCAGAAGTCCTGATACCTACTGAACTGTTTGTATGTGTGTGGGAGGTGTTCTCAGTTAACCTCTTTCCCTATAACATTCCAATCTATACTTTCATGTATTTTACTTTTATTGTTTCCTCTGCCTATTCATATCCATGCATAATTCCTACTGTCTTTTTTTCAGATGTCAGTACCTCACCCCTTTTCTCTTCTGTCTGCTCTCAGGTTAGGGTACCCACCTGGTACATACTTCTCTTATAGCACATATTGAACTACATCAATTGGTTTTCAAACAGAATTTTGGGGAGCCTTGGGCTACCTCGTTTTTCCCTGGCTTTGCTTTCCTACACCAGTATCCTGACATTTTTTGGCACCTAAAACTTGAGGTGAGAGGGGCTGGGATCAAAGGATTGACCTTTGAGAACCAGTAGGAAAGGAAAGAGGGTGCAGATACAGATAGGATTGTAGGTTGTGATGGGCTGCCCACAGCCGTTTATCATGGAAGTAGAAGGCTGTGCCGTTAACTCCAAGAGGTGGAAGAGGAATGAGAGGAGGAGTAAACAGGTGTGAAATAGTCTTGGGGTGCTAGTTGGAGTGGGCTAGTGGGCTTACCAGAGAAATTCAGGAATATTAGGTGGCATTGTGTCCCAGTGGAGGTTGTTGATAATAACTTTATAATGGCATCCATGTTCCTGCCTCTGTGACTCCCCCCACCCCTCTTTCAGTAATGCTCAGCTGTTTGGGTATAGATACCAAGTAAGAAGATCGTTGAGTTGGGTCAGCTAGAATTGCATTTTATTAGGGGATTATGAAAAAACTCCCAAGAGCCAAGTGTGTGGATAAAGAGGGAAGTGAATATAGGTATAGGTGGACATAGAAAATTATGGGGTCTGTGGTTTGGAAGTTTTAATTAAGCTGAAGTCATTTCAAAAAGGAATTCAGGGGGCACCTGGCTGGCTCAATCGGTAGAGCATGAGATTCTTGATCTCAGGGTTGTGAGCTCAAGCCCCACATTGAGCATGGAACCTACCAAAAAAAAAAAAAAGGAATTCAGTTAGAACTATGGAGATTCAGTGACCTCTGGGGACACCCATTTATATTAATGCAAGATAGTGGGTGGAAATTCCCAAGAGGTGGGAATATGGCGGTGGGGGGGGGTCTACTGTTAATGAGCATGAATTCCAGAGGGCAAATTTTTGTTAATATAGACATTTTAACAAGATAGAGTTGGACTGCCTGTGTTAGAATCCCAGCTGTCCTTTACTAGCTGTGTGACCTTGGACAAGTTACATAATCTCTCCATATGTCAGTTTCTTTGTCTGGAAAATGGGAATAAAAATAGTACCTATCTCATAGCATTGTTCAGAGGATTATATGAGTTAATGTTTGAGGGCTAGCACATGCAAAGCATATGTAAGTACTTATTACATAAAAATAGTACTGCCCTAAATATTTAATTTAATATATAATTCTTCTAGTGCCTAGCTACCATGTCCTTCCCCTCTCCCATTAATACTGTTATCTCATAATTAAACTTCTACCATATACTCAGTTGAACTAGTCCTCTATACACTTTTTATTGAAGTAGGAACTTTTTCATTAGGTTTGTAAATCTGTGCTAATCTCTTGGAAAAGTGTATTTTAAATGTCTCTATCTTATAAATTTTATTTTAGCTGTTAAGCGTTTAATGAAAGAAGCAGCAGAATTAAAAGATCCAACAGATCATTACCATGCACAGCCATTAGAGGTTAGTTTCCATCTTTTACATATGGATTTTAATACTTTAATATTTTAAATGAATTCCTTAAAATTGTTTTTTTCATTGCTTTGAGTCATTGCAGATGTGTTTGGTTTATTGATATATTTTACTCCCTGTATTTTCTTAGTATTTATTTCATTAGCCATTCAGAATCCAACATATTAGAAGCAAATTTCCAGTCTCTATAAATGGTCTCAGATGCTAAATTGGTCTTAGGTTTTGAGTATGAGGGAGGGAGGAGGGGTAATGGAAAGAACCCCAAACTCTTTAGTGTGGAAGACCTGGACCCTTGAAGGGACCCCTGCAGCTAGTTTGGGCTTTTTGCACAAACATCTCTATCTCTTTTCAGTCTTCTCATCTGTAGAAGGAGGGTATTTAAATGTGCTCAGCCTGGTTTCCATGATAATAGTGAAAATAAAATGTAATAAAGTATGTGCAAATATTTTGCATACTGTAAACTGTAAAGTACCTGGGGACTCTAAGATGATGTTGATAGCATATTTATTAATATCACTGACTACTTACAAATAAGCTCTTAAGCGTCTCTGAGGGATAATTTTTTAAAGTTTGTTAAAATAATCCACATTTACAGCAATTATTTGATTATATAATAATTATCACTAGTATGCAAGGATTAATTTAGCTTAAGTAAATCTGTAATCTTATGAATATATAACAATGCTCAGCTGTTTTTAAATGCATTTGTTTAAAAAAGATTTTAGCTCTCGTGGGACATGAAAACTAGATTAAATAGCTTTTATTTATAACTTTTATACTTGAGATATTTTGTGCATTAGAAACTATTCTAGTAATAATGTGAAACATTTCATTTTTCTCACCCAGGAATATTTCTGGTACTCATTAATAAAGATGATCAAACGTTTTAATGTTATTGATTCCTTGCTGGTTATTGTTTTTGTTCAGGATAACCTTTTTGAATGGCACTTCACAGTTAGAGGGCCCCCAGATTCTGATTTTGATGGAGGAGTTTATCATGGACGAATAGTACTGCCCCCAGAATATCCCATGAAACCACCGAGCATTATTCTTTTAACGGTAAGAATTCTTGGCTTTTTGGAATGCTTGTGATTTAACTCTTCATGGTGACTGCAAAGCATGGTTAGTAGACTCATTTTCATTAGGAAATAAAGCAGAACATTGTTATAATTTTGTCTTTGGGGACCAGGACTTGATAGTACAGTTCTTTTCCCCAAAAAATAATTCCTAGGAATTATTGATGCTAAGGAATGCACAGTTGCCATGGTGTGGTTGATAGGATTCAGTGGATTAGCGGATACAAAGTGCTAGGCACAGTGTCTGGCACTTGCCAAGTACTCAGGAAAGGATAGTTAATGGTATTATATCTCTTAATCACATCATCACCTTCAACTTCTCACCTTTCTTATACTCTTTTCCTCAGTTTCCTCATTTTTACGTACAGCTCTGAAAATAAGAACTGTCACAGGGTCCTCAATAAATGTTAGTTATATTATTACTATTTATATCTTAGAATTCCTGTCTTCACATATTTTACCTCCATATGAAGGAAAACTGTTGATCCAGTTTTCTCTTATTTTTTTCTGGGATGTTGTTCCTTCAGAGTAAATTCCTCTCTTATTAAGCTCTCCTTCCCTCCTTTCCTTTAATTTGCAAGTATGTCTAATTATCCTCTAATCTTGAAAAAAGCAAAACAAAACACAAAAGCCTTTCTCCTACCTCTTTAAGCTGTTGTCCTATTTTCTCTTTGCTAACTTCAAGACATCCTTCCTCTAGTTTAGCCTGTTGCAGTCTGGTTTCTACATGGTTACTACCCCAGTCTCAGAGACCAGTTTGAGAAATTGCACTGCCTCTTCTCAGTGGTCATCCTCGTCTGTCTAAGTTAAATATCTGACATCACATGGAGTAGCAAATGGTAAAACAAATGTATTCGTCAATAAATACGAAACTAAAGCTGCTTTTACTACGATACTTGGTGTAGTGGAAAGAACATTAGTTTCAGAGCCAATAGACCTGGATTCTGACCACTGTTCTTCCCATTACAGCAGGCAGGTTGCATAATCGTTTTGAAATTCAGTTTTCTTGTCTGTCAGGGGTTGTGTATGGTAAATACAGTCACAATATAAAGTTCCTATCATATAAAATGTTCTGCTTAACAAATATTAGGTGGTGTTGAGAATTGTTAATACCGGCAGTAGGACTGGAGCAGGGTCCTGGAGGGGCCCTACTGTGTTAGGAGTTACTTTTTAGTTGCTAGATCATGGGGAGAGCCAAGTGGTTCAGGGGATGGGGCTGGTGCATGGGGAAACGGGTGGGGGGTGGGTAGTTGGGGCAGCAGCTGTTAACCAACGAGTACAGAAATATTTCAATAGTTAACCAATGTATGGTCATGGTTAGCACACTGGCTGAGAATCAGCCCTGCCTTCCTGATTTTCAATATTTGATCTTTCTGGTTCACATCCTCTATTTTGAAAAGTACTCTCCAGTCTTCATTCAGCAAATATTTATTAAACATATGTCATGCACCATGGGGCTCGGTTGGTTAAGCATCTGACTCTTGATTTCAGTTCAGGTCATGATCTCAGGGTCATGAGACTGATCCCTGAATCAGGCTCCACACTCAGTGCAGAGTCTGCTTGTCCCTCTCCTTCCCCCTCTGCCCCTCCCTCTGCTCTCTAAAAATGAATAAATAAAATCTTAAAAAAAAAACATGTCATGCACCTTGTAGATGTGGCAGAGAATAAGTCAAATTCTCTGGCTACTTGGAGCTTAATATCCTAACTTCATGTCTCTTCTTCTTCCCCTTCCTCTGAGTATGGATATTCTGTAAGTTCAGATATCAGCTATTTTCTCTTATTTCTATGAAATGGCTTCACTGGTCACCTCTGTGAAGTCAGATACCAAAAAAGTGTATCTTCTTCTGACATCAGCATGTCTGTATTTCTGCCTGTCTGCAGTATGTCCTCAATAGCTCTTCTACTGAGACAGGAGATCCATGTCCAAAATGGAAATCATTACGTCTGATCTGCCTCTTCTGTGTTGCTGTCTTATGAAATTGCATCATCCTTATGAAAATCACTGCTGTCTCGGAGCCTCCTCCACCAATATCTAGTTAGGTGACACCAAGTCCTTAGGTTTTTCCTAGCCTCTGCATATCTTCTCTTTTAGATCCTTCACAGAGCCTAGTCCAGTACTGTGCTCAGAGAAGGAGATCAGGACATCATTATATGTCAATTATTTAGATTTCAGAAAGGTGCTACAACTTCACAGCTTTTATTGTTTTACAAGTATTTGTGGAGTGTCTATAAGAGGACAAAAATCTGTGTCCGCTTGGAGATTATATTCTTTTAAAGTTTTCTTTTAAAATTATTTATTTATAAAATATATTTATACTTATAACGTATAAAACATTAAACACATATATAGTTTTTAAAATGCCTTATTTATTCCTAAGGCTAATGGACGATTTGAAGTAGGCAAGAAAATCTGTTTGAGCATCTCAGGACATCATCCTGAAACTTGGCAGCCTTCATGGAGTAGTGAGTATTAATTTGAAGTGAATATAACTCTTCTATAACTCTAATCAATTCATAATTATAAAGTATAACACCCTCTTGAGACTGAAGCTGTTTTGGATAATTAATTTGATATTATTGAATAGAGAATAAAAATTCTTTCCCTGTCTCAATTTTTGCCATCATTTAATACAACCACTCTACCTGTACCTCTTCAGTGAAAGCCTATGTGTCCTTTTTTCTCTTTCCAGAGTAAACCCAGTTCCTTTTACAAAACAACTTAGATTCATGTTTACTTTTTATTTCAGTAAGAACAGCATTACTAGCCATCATTGGGTTTATGCCAACAAAAGGAGAGGGAGCTATAGGTTCTCTAGATTACACACCAGAGGAAAGAAGAGCACTTGCCAAAAAGTAAGTTTTGCATTTCATTCTTTGTTAAGGTTTAAGTACTATTCTGGATAATGGCTGTTAGGAGATAGGCTCTGTCTCTTACTTTGTGAGTTACCTTGGTTACAGGATCTAGTCTACTTTTGCTATTTTAGAATTTCATTTGTAGCAGTTTACTACTCAGGGGTGATCAGAGTCTAAAGAATTGATTTCATGCTGTCTAGTTTTAGAAAGTAGTTGGTAATATCAACTTGAAGTGGGAGATACCTTCTCCAAAAAAACAGTTCTGGTCATTTGTCTCTACTTGGGCAGAATTACAGATGGAAAAAACAAAAACAAAAACAAAAACAATGCAATTGTTTATATGTAGCTTTCCATAAGATTAAAAACTTCTTGAGGGTAGGGAGGGAGTCCACTTTATCCATCTTTGCACCTACAGTATCAGGCTCAAAGCAAATGCTCAGTAAATGATCCAGAATAAAGTAAACTTTATCAAGTTACGGTTTCCTAGTGGTATTGCCTTCTCATTTTTTCAGATGCGTTCTGTCTGTATAACCCAGATTAGTCATCAGATTCAGAGTAGCCTCTCTTTTGAGTAGTGCAAAGACTAATTCTCTCTCTCTCTCTTCTTTTATTTTAAGAACAACTTCTAACCCAGTTTATTTTTTTAATCAGTGTGCATAGGGAAGAGACCTTATAAGTAATCCTATCAAGAGGCTTTCTAATCCTAAAATACTAGACCCAACCCTCAACAAATGTTAAAGTTTCCAAAATTGCAGTGAGGTGAGGAAGAGTATTTAAAAGTACTTACATTCTGTAATTCTTGATTTTTTTTAAAGATGTTATTTATTTATTTATTTGACACAGAGAGAGAGAGAGAGCACAAGTAGGCAGAGCGGCAGGCAGAGGGAGAGGGAGAAGCAGGCTCCCCGCTGAACAGGGAGCCCGATGTGGCGCTCATGACCTGAGCTGAAGGCAGTCGCTTAACCGACTGAGCCACCCAGGCGCCCCTGTAATTCTTGATCTTGATCATTTTTCTGCTTTGGACTCTTCTGTTTACCACCTCTCAGACATATTACATTAACTAAATTATAGTGTATCTTACCCTAGCACAGCCCAGAATATGTCCTCTATAGTTGTTTGTTAAATCAAATAGATTTTAGTGTCTGAAAGATTTGATAGACTCTTGGAGTTCATCAACAACTTTTCTTTTTAAACCTTATTTTTAGGTTCTGGGGATACACCTTACTGCAGCTGTTATTCACAAATTATATAATATGTACTTTGAATGTATAACATTTGTTTTTACTTGATTTTCTTTGTTGGGTTTCTGTCTTGATACTTTTATCCAGTTCATTTCATGTATAAGGAAAAAAAGAACTGTGCTTTTTTGTTCTAGACTTCCCAATGTATATATACTAGGTTTTTAGTCTATGATAGAGGCTTTTTAAAAACATGATTTTGCATTCATCCATGGTAGCATATTGTCCTTGTGGATAAACTAATATATTAAAAATTAACCTTCCCCTTTAAGTTTCATCTGACTTCTCAATTGAAAGTGGACACATTTTAATGCAAATAATTTGGATACAGCTGATTCTCAAAAGGATACAGACAGCAGTGCTCCTTCTGGTGAAACAAAAATATTCGGCAACATGTACTAATAAGTTAATACTACTTTTACATATGTTTTGTTCACATGAAGTTGTTTAATAAATTTAAGTAGCATGTTCTTGGGGCGCCTGGGTGGCTCAGTCGTTAGGCGTCTGCCTTCAGCTCGGGTAGTGATCCCAGGGTCCTGGGATGGAGCCCCGCATCAGGCTCCCTGCTCTGTGGGAAGCCTGCTTCTCCCTCTCCCACTCCCCTGCTTGCTCTCTCACTGTGTCTCTCTCTGTTAAATAAATAAATAAAATCTTTAAAAATTAAATAAATAGCATGTTCTTAAAGACTGAAGGCTTTTATTATGTTGAAATGGAAGTACAATAAAACAACTTTTTAAAAAGTTCAGCAATGTAATGGTACATACTTCTATATATTATACATATTTATTTCCAGTCATACAAAGCCTCAGCACTTTTGTGGACGTTAGGACACTTTTGGCTATATCTGGAATCCAAAGGGGAAAATGAAAACATAGGAAAGCAAATAAATCTTGGGAAGTAGTCTAGTTAACAGATTTATCTTGAGTCTACTTAATATAATGAGTGATAAATTTCAGAATCTTTGGATTTTATACGAGTTCTCTGTCTTTCAAGTTATACTGCTATTTATTTTTTTATTTTTATGTTTTTCCAAGTTTTTATTTAAATTCCAGCTAGTTAACATACAGTGCAATATTAGTTTTAGGTGTAGAATTTAGTGATTTATCACTTATATCCAACACCCAGTGCTCATCACAAGTGCCCTCCTTAATCCCCATAACCTGTTTAACTGCACCCCACACTGACACTCTCCCCACCACACACACCTCCCCTCTGGTAACCCTCAGTTTGTTCTCTGTAGTTAAGAGTCTGTTTCGTGGTTTGCTTCTCTCTCTTTTTCTCCCCTTCACTTGTTTGTTTTGTTTCTTAAATTCCACATATGGGTAAAATCATATGGTATTTGTCTTTCTCTGACTGACTTACTTCACTTAGCATAAGTTATACTGCTATTTAGTTATACTGCTATTTGTGATTTTTTTCCCTAAAAATATCTGTAAATTCTATTTTTGGTAGCTTCTTTACTATTTTATGTATGTTTCAGCTAAAACATAATTCAGACTTTATAATGGACTTTTTTTCACAGGCTTAACATAGTTTTGTTATGTGTGATCTTGAGGACAGGGTAGTTAGACATTTTATATATTTTTGTTGTATAGATCTAAAGCTTAGTTTTCTTTAGATAGTATGATGGAAAAAAATGGAAACTAAGCCCTGTTTTTTTTTTAACTTTAGACTTTAAAAAATTGAGATACAATTGACATGAGTTTTTGTTGTTTGTTTTTGTTTTTTTTTAAGTTTTATTTATTTAAGTAATCTTCACACCCAATGTGGGGCTTGAACTCACGACCCTGAGATCAAGAGTTGCATGCTTTTCCGACTGAGCCAGGCACCCCAACATGAGTTTTTTTAACCTAACCTGTATATTTGTCTCAGAACTATAATACTGCCATAATTGTCTAATTTACATGTAGATGAATAGGATATGGAATTATCCAGGATTCTCTTATTTTAAATTGAATCATTCGGTATTTGAGTGTCTTGAATTAACATTCAAATATTTGATTTATACCCATCAAAAAAATTATTTCCTACCAGATCACAAGATTTCTGTTGTGAGGGATGTGGCTGTGCCATGAAGGATGTCCTTTTGCCTTTAAAATCTGGAAGTGATTCAAGCCAAGCTGACCAAGAAGCCAAGGAACTGGCTAGACAAATCAGTTTTAAGGTACTCTAAATTTGTAAATAAATTCTAACTATGTGACCCTTTTGTTTACTGCCAAATTCTGGATAGGAAGTAAAGCAATATAGTTCTGTTGCAATAAGGTTTTACAAATAATTTTTTCTTATTACAAAACTAATAATATACATTCACAAAGGCAGTCCAGCATAGTGGTTAAGAGCTTGGACTCTGGTATACAGTCCTGGGGTTCAGATCTCAGCTTTGCTCTTATTAGTAGTAGGACATCAGACATATTACTTAGCTACTCTGTCTCATCTGTAAATAATAATATTACTTATCTTGTAGGATTCTTATGAGGATTGAGTTAATACTCAAGTGTATTGTATTTAGAGCTGTCCCTGATACTTAATAAATTTTAGCTATTATTATAGAAAATATAGTAATTTAGAAGAAAATAACAATCATACATAATCCCTCCCCAAGAAATAACTGCTGTTAATATTTTGGCATAGCTCCCATATATCCTTTTTTTCCACATAGATTTTACTCAAACATAGAATTACTTCTGGGATTTAATTAGCTCTATTAAAAAATGTCAACCTGCATTAGGCGGCATGCAACTTCTGACCTGGTCACCTCCCTTACATCCCGTCTGTCCTTTCATATCCAGTTCTTGTGAGAAATTGTTCCTTCTGTTCGTTGTGTTATCTGGAAGAAGAGGTGCTTAATAAGTATTGGTTATTTTCTTCCTTCTGAGGATTCCTATTGTACTTAAAATTGCTTTTCTGAAAATCGGAGGGCCAGATGTGTTTTGTACATCAGAATTTCAGATTTTAGAAAATACCAAACATACACCATATTTTAGTACCTGCAGTGGGATCTGGGGCAGTACCGCATAATCAAATCTATTAATATTCCCTCAGCAAACCTGGGAATATTCACACTAATGTGGGATAAAGACTGTTAATAACCTCACATGTCATACTTCACCTGGAAATTACAAAAAACTTATTTGGGAATTGTGGATTATGAACCACGGGTGTTAGTTTTGTCTCTCACCAAGTAACAGCTCCTTGAGAACAGGTTTTGTCTGTGCTTTTTCCTGAAATACCTAGCACAGGCTTAGACACATGAGCACTTGATGTTTAACTGATTGGTAGTTGATAGTAAATTAGCAATTAAAATAAGCCCAAGAGAGGATTAGTAAGTGTGGGTTATTCTGTACATTTCCTGTTGTAACACTGCTCTTGGGTGTACCTTTTTTACAGGCAGAAGTCAATTCATCTGGAAAGACTATTGCTGAGCCGGACTTAAACCACTCTTTTTCACTAAATGATTTACAGGATGATAGACCTACAGCATTCCAGGGTGCTGCAGCAAGTACCTCGGTATGGTTCTTGTCTCTTACATACATGTGTGTCTGTATCATTAGCATTATTTGCCGTCGGAGGAGGAAACCTGTAGGTGAAATATCTGAATATTTTGATTCTCCTGACAGTTGGATTCCAGCCCACCTCTCCCTCTAATGAGTCATATTATCTTAAGCAAATTCGTACTTTTTGGGCCTTCTTTCTTATTAAACAGGGTTGGACTAAATAATTTTTAGGTCCTGTCGTCTCTCCAGAATTCTGTGATTTCTCTGAAAAGTTAGTTACAGTATAGCACCACACTCTGAATAAAACAAAATATACATACATTAGCCACTTTCTAAATAGGCACTGTTTCTTTGGCAGGTTTGTTAAGCTGCATTAAGGCACTCAGTTAATAAAGGACTAGAGCCAAAGATTTGCCTCAGACCTGCTCTGCCCAATACCGTAGTCACTAGCCACAAGTAGCTATCTAAATTTATATTTAAATTATTCAGAATTAAATTTAAAATTCAGTTCCTCAGTCACACTGGTATATTTCAAGTAATCCATAGCCACCTGTGGCTGTTGGCTGCCACATTGGATAGCATAGATATCAGACATTATCATCTCAGAAAGTTCTATTGGACAGTGCTGCCTTGCACATAGTAAGTGCCCAGTAAATAATTGTTGAATGAAAGATTAAATGAATACTATGTGTCTTGTTAGTTCTGCCCTGACCTGTTGTCTAAATATTGGTGGGTATAGGTCATCAGAGATTGATTAAGAAAATGTGACTGGATAGTTGCTAAATAATTAGGATTATGGGGGGAAAACATTGATTTTCTTTCTATATATATAAAAAAATGTCTTTTTGGTAACATTGGTTGAGTAGCTACATCTTTTTTTCCCTTCTTCAGTTTTTAGAGAGGATTTTTAAAGGGTCAGGAAAATTGAAATAGAAGCTGGCAAATACAGATTTGTCCTTTCCTCAGGAATAACTTAGTATAAGGTGGGACCGAATAGTCCTGAGTGGTTGTTCTCTCCTTTTCACAGAGTGAGATGGGCAGAGAGAAGTAAGTTGGAGAGAGAAGGCAAAAGGGAACGCTGGAGGAAGTAGTTGGAGGACTGGAGATAGGGGTATAAGGAAGAAGCGTATGCTGAGAGTTAAATCGTTTTTACATGATCCCCATGTAATTTTATGAATCGCAGAGGGATGTATTATGAGTTAATTTTAGTCAGTATATGTTTTACCTTGAAATATTAAAAAAATTCAGATTACTTTTCACCTTTAGAATTCTAATTGTTTATTTTATAGTTTTTTAAAAAATAGAACCATCCCATTTCAGAGAGGAGGGTGGTTATCTTTTTTCACCTGTAAGGACAGTCTCCTGATACTTGTGATATATTTAAATTTGTCTTCAGTCTCTTAAATCTGTGTCAAGTCCCCATAAGGCATCTTGCAGTTACACTTATTCTACTTGTAATTTATTTTATCATTAATTATTTATTGTCTATCTTCCCAGAATGTCAGTTCCTTGAGGATCAGAGCTCTCTTTCTGTTGCACTGTATCCCCAGTGCCTGGCCTTGTGCCTTGTATATAGTTGGTGGTCAATACATATTTGTTGATTGAATAAATGAATTTTAGGATTGACACTTTTAAAAAATACTAGAAATACAGGCAAAGAAATTAAGAAATTTAAGTAAATTACATTGCACAACCAATAATATTACAGTGGTATTTTCCATTTTGGTTTGATTTGACTTCTTTTGTTTTAATGTTTATTATTGCAGTATAATTGATTAGTTGATATGTATATATCAACTGTATATAATCTAACTGATCAGGTGTGCATTTTGATTTTAAAGTACATACAACTGAGAATTCTTTTTCATAGATACAGGTAATTGATGCCAATTCTGGTTAAAACACTGCTAAGTAATCAATTGCTACAGTTGCAAGTTAAGCTTTTAGTTACATTTATATACAGATTATCTCAGAGGTTGATTATATAATTTGATCACCATGGAAGTAATTGAAACTTGGTTTTGGCTAGGGGTGGCTGCTTTACATGCAAGTGTAATATAAATTCACTAAAATGTTATACATCAAATCCCAGATAAGCTATGTTTTTTTAGCCTTGAGGGGGCGAGAGATTGCCCAAAGTCTAAATACAGCAGATAATATCAGGCCATCTGTTGCTTTTTGATGCAGATTTTTTTAGCTGTGTAGAAATGGGGAAAATACTGATGGTAGTTTTATGTTCTTCCAGTCTGTCAGATTTTTTTCCCTCTTCCTAAGGACTGAGGTTCTGAATAAGCGATTCCATTTTGTATTAAAAAGCAAACACAAAACTCCTTCACAGATGCTGGTTATTCTAGATTATTCTAGAAAAATTTATATGTATTACAAGGGAATTACTTGTGACTGACGGTTATTTTAAATTAATTAAATACACATGTCATATACTTCTACCTTCCCAAAAATGGTCGCTTCATCTTAACTAAGGAAATGGAAACTGGTATGACTTAAGTCTTCATTCAGCGATAGGTGTATCTGGACAAGTTTAGGTCAACAGCAAAAATTTAGAGGTCCTACCACCAATTGTACACAGCATTTTGAAGATGCTAAAGCCAACTTCACGTGAACTACCAAAATTTTGTCCACTTAGTCCTTAAACTCCAAGCAATCTAGGTTCTTCTGGGTCTATAACCTTGAGGTTGTTACCATTTTCCCTTGATGGGATTGTTTTAAATAGGAAAAACTTTAGAATTTTATGGTATCTCAGCACTAATCAGTAATACTAATATATTATCCAGAAGGCATCTGAAATATAGGAATCTAATTAAAGCAGTATGTCTACATTAAGTGCATGTACTAAAATATCATCTAAAGTTAATGTTTTAAGGGATTGTTGTTCTAAATATGCTTTTTTAAAGATTTTACTTATTTATTTTAGAGGGAGGGAGTGGGTATGCATGGGGGGGTGAGGGAGGGGCAGAGGGAGAGGCAGAGAATCTGAAGTAGACGCCTCCCGGAGGTTGGAGCCCCATGGGTGGGCAGATCTCAGACCCTGAGATTATGACCTAAGCTGCAACCAAGAGTCGGCCCCTCAACTGGCTGAGCTACCCAGGCGCCCCTAAAATACTAATCATACTAACAGGGGTCTGAAAAACTCTCCTAAGTAATGATTTTTTAAAAATCTAAATCTGGGGGGTGCCTGGGTGGTGCAGTAGGCTAAGTGATGGACTCTTGGTTTCGGCTCAGATCCTGACCTCAGGGTTGTGAGATCGAGCCCCAGGTAGGGCTCAGAGCTCAGCTGGAGTCTGCTTGAGATTCTCTCCCTCTGCCCCTCCACCCTGCGTCTGCATGCACGCTCTCTCTCTCAAATAAATAAATCTTAAAAAAAAAAAAACCCTAAATCTAGTGTCTCCAAAGGGGTATATTAACAGTAACAATATTAATAATAACTAACATTTAATCAGCAGTTGTGTATCCTAAACACTTTATATCATTAATCCTTTTAATCCTTGTAACTACAGAATTGGATATTATCCTCACTATACAGATGAAGGAGCTGAATCTTAGGTTGAATAATTTGCTTAGGGTCCTGCATCTCCAAACTGGTAGAGCCAGCCTAGTAATGATAAGGCTTCCTGTTTTAGTCAAGTACATAGGCATTGTATTCTCCCCTCAGACTAATGGAAAAAAATAACATGTATAAAATAAAATCTTTAAGCCGAATCAATCTCTTATGCTGGTTTCTGGATTGATAGCACTTTCATGTTTTTCCTTAAGAGCCTTCCCTATAAGCCTTGAGTGCTTTTGCTGCATCAGACACTTCTAGCTTCTTGGCTGAGCAGTCAGAAGAATGGGAGATTTCAAATGGAATGTTGCTGTTATCAGCTGCCATAACTCAGCTCAACCCAATGAGTGTTAAGATCCTATATGATGCCTGTGACAATGTGAGACCTCATAAAATGTTGCTGCTTTGTGGATTTGCTCCCTTCAGTGAGCTTGTTGCTGGCTGTCCTGGAGTTTGAAGTCCCAAGTTCATGCAGCTCTAATTCAGTATCAGCAGTGACTTTTATTTTTAACTCAGAGTCAGTAGTTCCTTTTTTATCTCTGTGTTATGGGTCACTACATTTGAGTGCTTCCAAAGGACAGTTTTAAGAAACTCAGATTATTCAGACCTTTGATTGTTGAAATGAATATCAGATTTAAAATGTAATTTCTACTGTAGGTAACTTAGATCAGCAGTTTCTTCCCTAACGTTTATAGCTGTTGCCCATCCTCTTATCTTTTTTAAAAAATTTGAGGGGCACTTGGGTGGCTCAGTTGGTTAAGCCACTGCTTTCGGCTCAGGTCATGATCCCAGGGTCCTGGGATCGAGGCTCCACGTTGGGATCCCTGCTCCATGGGAAGCCTGCTTCTCCCTCTCCCTTTGCCCCTCCCCCCCGCTCGTACACTCTCTCTCTCGCAAATAAAAAAATCTTAAAAAAAAAATATTTGAATTATATTATTTGATTTTTTCCTTCTAAATATTGAAATTTTCTCTAATGGAAAGTATTTTAAATGTTTTATATTTACTCAGTTTTTAAAGTTATTCTGAAGAAAACATGCATTCTTATTTTTTATTTGAAAGGGTATTGGCATTAATATAACCAGTTTAAGGTGTTTTCAGTAAAAGAATTAAAGGCCACTGGGTTATTAGAGGTAGAGTTAAGGAGTCTATATAAATAAAATGGAATTCGTATTTTGTAGAGCTTTCTTATCTATAAACCGTATTTAAGATTTTGAATCACGTGGTACCACATTGTGGTTATGCTTGACCAAGCAGTCATTGTAAGGATACAAAGCAGTTGGTATCTTGTGCTTTGTGGAGCCAACTAGTGTGCCAAAGTATGGTTTACATATATAAAGTAACACAATTCAAATACACAGTATTCTAGACTTGTGCTCAATTCAACTGACAGGAGTTATGAGAAAAGATAATCCTGGCTTGGAAACCACATCTAATTTTTATAACAGTACTGCGTGAAGAACGTACGGTTTGAAATTCTTCCCTATGCTGCATGATTGTTGGTGGAAGCATGTTGCTGTAGTAAGATAATGTTGGAAGAGACCTGGTTCATGAAAGGCACACTGTTGAGAGTTTAACTTTTTGCCACTGAGTATGGCAAATTTTCAAGCCAAAAAGGAATCAGATTGCTTTCTTCCTTGGCTCTCCTGCAAGAAGTGAGGTGCCCAGATATTTAACAGATATTGCTGAAGGAGAATAGAAAGCCAGCTATAGAGCAAATGGCTCAACTCTGTCCTCGTCTTATTTGTTGCTGATAAATTCCTCCGCTGCCTGATGCGTACTCAGAGTAAGTTGTGTTGTTGCCTTATTCAGGAGGGTGAGTAATTAGTTACAGCATTCAGATCATTCTTGGTAGTTTTGCCTTTAGTCATATTTTAGTGCTCTGAGATTCTGTGTACTCTTGAATAGATAACAGGTATATATACAAGTTTTCTTTGCCAATTTCAAACAAAATTTCCTAAAATTTCCTAGTATGGAACCCAGAACCCCTCAGCAGCATCCCTTCAACAACCTGCTCAGCCTGTTGTTAAGAATACCTCCATGAGCCCTCGACAACGCCGAGCCCAGCAGCAGAGTCAAAGAAGGTCATCTACTTCCCCAGATGTGACCCAGGGCCAGCAGCCAAGAGACAACCACACCGATCATGGCGGATCTGCTGTTCTGATTGTCATCTTGACTTTGGCATTGGCAGCTCTTATATTCCGACGAATATATCTGGCCAATGAGTACATATTTGACTTTGAGTTATAATATTGTTTTGTGTCTTAAGAGCTGTGACTCAACTGCTTCATTAAACATTCTGCATTGGGTATAATCTAAGAATTGTTTACAAAAAGATTATTTTGTATTTACCCTTCATTCCTTTTTTGATCCTTAAAACTTCAGTATAGATATAGCTAGACTTTCAGACTGTGTCTGCTTAGTTTAAGGGACTGGAAGTCAAAGTCCCTTGTCTCACCGTATGACCTACTTTACAGAGAAATAACTTACTGTTGTTTCTCATGCCTCAGCTTCTTTTTATGTAAATCTGTGATACTTTTCTGTATGACTCTTTGAACTTTTTGGATTAAAGAGGGTGTTTTAAGTTCCAGTGAGTATTACTAGTTACTCAATACCCTTTATTGAGTACTCTGTTTCTACTTATGTAGAATGATATAGGGATAAGAGTTGAAAAGGGAAAGTAGAGCTCTTCAAATAGCTTGCTGAGAATGTCATTCACAGGAGATATACTGGGATGCCCATTATGTGACTTACTTTATGTCCTAAATGTTGTTCAGTGAAAGTAACTATTTCAGTCAAACATTTATGAGGAAATGAGATCACATCTTTGTTATTGGGTGGGAATAATGCTTTGTAACCACTTTGATGTGCTGTTATCCCCTTCTCTCCCGAATGCACACAAGATTTACAAAGAAAGGAAACAGTCCTCTATAGATCTTTTTTTAAGGAAAGAAGGGTCCAAGCCAGGAAATCACTTGATTTTCTTCCAGAAGTCAAATGGAAGGATGTTCAGATTTTAATGTTTGCTCTGCTTTGAATTGTATCTCTTTTGAAGGTATTATATGCCTAGCTTTGTAATCACTATAAATTTAATTATTCCAGGAATATGTATAATGTCGAAATATTTCATGTACCATTTTAACAGAAAAGCTCAGGGCCCAAGTAACAGTGATAGAAATTAGAAAAACCTTTACTTAGAATTGTCCACCTAATCAAAGCCCAAGAAATAATTTTCAGTGCAAAATCAGTATATAAGTTAGTGCTAGCTAGCTCCACGGATTCTAGCAGGTAATTTTATCATTATAATGCTTGGTGAGAACATATAATCACAGAAAACCATTGCCTTCAGCAATGGTTCAGTAGCAGCATTGAGGGCACTCTTGAGAGTATTTGTTAATGAAGATTTAATTTTTAAATACAGGCAGTCCCCTGCTTTCAAGTAGGGTATGTTCTAAAAGTGCATTTGTGAGTAATTTTTTTTTTTTTTTTTTACAACTCAATGTTGTAAATGGCGTTCAGGTTCTAGACAAGTCCAAAAGTTAGTCCATAATGTATCTTGAATACTTTGGGGATGGTGTTCATAAAGTCCTTAATGTAGTTTTAGCTAACTGAAATTATGGGCAAGATAGAAACAATTTGTAAAATGGTATTAAAGGCAAATTTAATTTTTACTGCTTCTATGGACTTTGGCTCTGTTAATTATAAGACACAATTTCTATTTTCATCTAATAGCCATTTTTCCTTTATGTCCATACCTAAAGTAAGAACATACTGTATACTATTATATAATACATAATTGTCTTAAACTTTAATAAATTAGCATTTTAAAAGTGTTTACAGATTGTTTCTGTTATATCTACAGCCAAAGTTGGTAAAGTCTTAAAAAGCTCAAGGACTTTATGAGGACCTCCTATGTCAAGAGAATTATAGGTGACCATTTTATAACTTTATTGCCATGAGAAAGCACATTCTGAAGTCTTGGTTTGGAACACAAAATATTAAAGATATTGGTTCAGTGGTCTCCTAGCAAGAGGTCACTGACCCACCGGGGAAAACCAAATAATGTTATCACCTGAGAAGAAGCAAGTCCCCCTGCTCTCAACCTATGCTGAGATTAATCGTGTGCTAGGAACAATCTTCCCTCCACTTCCTCTCAGTCAAACCTGAGCCGGTCTCAGGATCTATGTGATCTTGTTACATGTTTCTGTGGGGTGTACCAATACTTTAAGATTCATTAAGCCAAGAAGATTTTGCACTGTGCAGGTCCTTTATCTGATTTGCCTCTCTTCCCTCCCCTATCAACTGACAGGCCACCTTCTTTTTTGTGTTGGCATTTTTTAAGCGCCTGATACACATATCTGAAAGTGACATTTTTTTTGTTCTTTCCCTTTCGGCTCACAGATGCTACCTAAAAATCCTTAAGCTGTCAATTGGATCCCCATCGTGGAGTTGAGCAAAATCGATCTTTGGGGCTAGTCTTACTCGAACGCCACCTGAAGAGACTTCAGAAAACTGTTACTTTTAAAGCCCCAGTTTATCCCTTTAATTAGAGTGTAATGACAAAACCAGGTGTGTGATCTGGTTAGTAAAGGCTTAGGACTCCTTCCCCCAATCCTCAGATTTAAGTAATTCATGGCTTTTTCTTTGACCAACAAAGCACATGACTACATATCAAGGTAGTTAAAATAGCATGCTCGAAAAAATACGATGTCTGTTTCACCTGTAACTGTTTAAGCCAATGAAAGCTTCCAAATTTTATGTATTGTGGGGCTTTTATGTAGCACTTTACATTTTCATGCTGCTTACTGTTTTATTCTACTGAAATAAATGAATTTCATCAAAATTCTCAATGAATTTTTTAAAAAGCCTTTAAAATTGTTTATCATTTTGACTATAGAAATATTTCCTATTTCAGGAGAATAAGAAATCTTTTTGTTATTTTTGGCTATGAATAAACTTTCTGGTATCTTGAGACCTCCCATTTTTATAGACCAGAATCTGTAAACAGGCAAACCTCACACATTTGGACTTACTTGAGCAGAAATCTAGGCTGAAGTACTGAAAAGCCTATACTGTTGCATTATTTGCAAGTAAGTATATGAAAAGTGAATGCATTTAACAAAGACTAACGTGTACATTAACATGGGTACTGTTTAAGCCTTGTGGGAGGCTGTACATTGCTCAGAAGCTGTTTGGAATGCCTCTTGAACAGTTGCCTTCAGAACGAGTTTGAGCTGCTCAATAAAACCAGTGACTTTATTCATACCGTGTTTTGACCACAGGTTGTATTCTTTATGTTATTCGGTCTTCTGTCCATTCTACCTCCTTAAATATTCTCTCATGTCTTACCACTGCTCTTTATGTTCACTGCCATTACCCTAATGAGCCTTCATATCCTCCGAATTAGTGCAATAACCTCTAACAAGGCTCCAGTCTTGTCCCGTTCTTCACCCTGCCGCCAGAGTCTTCTCCAGCGTTCAGGTCTGATTCTGTCTCTTAAGTTCACACCCTTAATGTAGGTTATAAGGCTGTGTGTAACCAGAGTCCCACTGAGCTCTCTGGCCTAATCTGACGGCAGATGCTTACTGGGGCCTTTCCACAGCTCTTGAGCTTGAGCCACTGGGGCCACTCCTCTGTTCTGAGAGAAATGAACAAATGTTAAAGTTATATATCCACTGCTTCACGCCATACACAAAACTTAACTCAAAATGGATCTAAGACTTCAATGTTAAGAGCAAAAACTATAAAACTGTTAGAAGAAAGCATATTAAATCTTTGTGACCATGAGTGAAGCAGTGGTTTCTTAGATACAAGACCAAAAACAAATATTTTATCAAAACAAACCCTTTGTGTTTCAAAGAACATCATTAATAAAGTGAAAAGACAACCCCGTATGGGAGAAAATATTTGAAGATAAAATTATCTGATAAGAGACTTGTATCTAGACTAGAGAACTCATAACTCAATAATAAAAAAGATAACCTGATTTAAGAACAGCAAAGAGTTTGAATAGATACTTGTACAAAGAAGGTACACAAATGACCAATAAACATGGAAAGAGGCTCGAACATCATTAGTCATTAGGGAAATGCACATCAAATTACGGTAAGATACTTCACATCCACTATGATGGCTAGAATAAAACAGCTAAGTGTTGGTGAGGATGTGGAGAAGTTGGAATTCTCATCCATTGTTGGTGGGAATGTAAAATGGGGCAGCCACTTTGAAAAAAACTGGTAGTTCCTCAAAAAGTTAAGCAAAGAGTTACTATATGACCCAGCCATTCTGCTCCCAGGTATATCGCCAAGAGAAATGCAAACATGTTCACACAAACTTCTACACAAGTATTCATAGCAGTATTATTATTCATAGCCCCAAACTGGAAACTCAAATGCCCATCGACGGAAGATAAGCAAGATGTGTTCTGTCTATACAGTGGAATGTTATTTGGCAATAAAGAGGAATGAAGTTATAATACATACTACAACATGGGTGAATCTTAAAAACATCATTCCAGAAAAAAAAAAGAAAAGATAACATCAAGTCCAGTGAAGCCAGACACACAAGGCTACATAGCATATGATTCCATGTATATGAAATATCCACATTAGGCAAACCCATAGAGACAGAAGGTAGGTTGGTGACTGCCAGGGGCTGAAGGGAAGTGAAGGAAAGGGGGAGTGACTGCTAATGGGTATGAGGTTTCTTTGGCAGGAGAAGAACATGTTCTACAATTAGATACTGGTGATGGTTACACTATACTAAAAACCACAGTTTAAGGGGTAAATTTGGGGCGCCTGGGTGGCTCAGTTAAGTGTCTGCCTTCAGCTCAGGTCATGATCTCGGAGTCCTGGGATTGAGCCCCATGTCAGGCTCCCAGCTCAGTAGGAAATCTGCTTCTCCCTCTCCCCCGACCCCCACTCATGCTCTCTCTCTTGCTCTCTCTTTTCTCAAATAAATAAAATCTTAAAAAATTTAAAAAAGGGGGTAAATTTATGGTATGTGAATGATACTTCAATAAAGCCATTACTTAAAAAGTTACACTTAGGGCGCCTGGGTGGCTCAGTTGGTTAAGCGACTGCCTTCGGCTCAGGTCATGATCCTGGAGTCCCGGGATCGAGTCCCACATTGGGCTCCCTGCTCAGCAGGGAGTCTGCTTCTCCCTCCGACCCTCTTCCCTCTCGTGCTCTCTATCTCTCATTCTCTCTCAAATAAATAAATAAAATCTTAAAAAAAAAAAAAGTTACACTTATCTCCAACTGAGTTTTTCACCATACCATAATCACAATAATTCAACGACTGAAAATAAGAGAGATTTAAAGAAAAAATTGATAGGACCTAAGATGTCCAGAATGCAACAAAACAAATATTTCTTTCTTTCTTTTTTTTTTAAGATTTATTTATTTATTTGAGAGAGAGAAAGAGAGAGAGAGGGAGAGATGGTGGGGGCAGGGGCAGGGGGAGAGGGAGAGAATCTCCAGCAGACTCCCTACTGAGTGTGGAGCCTGATGTAGGGCTCCATCCCATGACCCTGAGATCATGAGCTGAGCTGAAACGAAGAGGGCAGCACTTAACCAACATGGCCATCCAAGTGCCCCAAAACACATATTTCTTTTCTTTTTTTAATTTTTTATTGTTATGTTAATCACCATACATCACATCATTAGTTTTTGATGT